CCCCCCCCCCCCCCCCCCCACCACCACCAAAATGAACTTCAAGGAGTATCCGATTCAGGTACGTTATAGACGATAGAAAACACTTAAAGCAATCACTCTTCTATTCCCCAGCCTCCTCCTTGATTAAAAACTATTCTGATGCAATTTCCTGGAATACATGCACGCATCCTAGAGGAAATTGACAATTTAATACTGTATAGCATAAAGTAACAGTGCTTTATTTAACTATAATTGTGATGTAGGGGTGTGCGATGGACTTATCTTCACGTGGTGCACCCTGGTCAATGCATACTCATACGGCAAAAAGTCTATTAACCGGTAGCTGACTTCGGACTTCAAATTACCATGACCTCACTGTATGTCATATTCAACCACTTCCACAGTACTCATCTTACATTTTCTCTGCCTTTGTGTCTATCTATCGCTTTTCCATCTGTGAATCACTCTTCTGTTCCCCTCTCGGCTTTTTGTCACTATGATGTTCTTCCTCCTCTCTGTGAAGCCCGAAGTCAGCTAAAGGGCTAATGATAACCATCAAAACGCCTGCTATTTGAAATAAATAAATAATTGACACTTAAAGTGGAAATTAGTCTCTGACCTGTAATCTTACATTCTCTTTACGTGGAACTAGTTGTAAACGCACACTTCCCGATTTACTTAACTCTAAATATTGCAAAGTGAGCAACAATGGGGTGGAATTGATCAGCTGTGAACGATCACGTTTCAGTTACATCTAAATTTGATAAAAAGTTGTGTGCGACAGACTTACCTAGACGTGGTGCACCCTGGGCAACGTATACTCATACGGCAAAAAAGTCTGACTTCTAACTACTATCATATTCAACTACTTTCACAATACACACATCACCTTTTTTCTACCTTTGTGTCTGTCTCTTTTACATCTTTGAACCACTCATCTGTTCCCCCCCCCAATCTTAACCTTTTTCACTTTCTTCACCTTTTTTCTACCTTTGTGTTTGTCTCTTACATCTTTTAAACACTCTTTTGTCCCCCCCCCCATCTCGACTTTTTTCTCTTTGATATTCCTTATTTTTTCTACCTTTGTGTCTGTCTCTTTTACATCTTTGAACTCTTTTTTCTACCTTTGTGTCTGTCTCTTTTACATCTTTGAACCACTCATCTGTTCCCCCAACCACCACGATTTTTTTCACTTTGATGTTCCTCCTCCCCTCTGTGCAGCCTTAGGTCAACAAAAGGGCCAATGATAACTATCAAAACGCCTGCCATTTGAAATAACTAAATTTGATAAAATAAAAATCAAGCCAATTTTAACTGATATTCGAAGCGCTTCCTCTTTAAATTTGGCCAGTGTGTGTGCTAATTCGCTTTAGGTCTATGTGTTCTTTCCCATCGAGGTGAGAAAGTTAATTACTAGCACTTACGAGGTATTCCTGAGCGTCGACTTGAGCTCCGTGGTAGATGAGGAAGTGGATAATCTCCCTGTGGCCACCTGAAGCCGCCTTGTGAAGCGCTGTGCATCCAACCTAAAAAAGCGCAAAGAGGAAATTTTTCCCTCACTGAAGGTTCTTCTACGCAAAATCCGCTTTTCTGCTATTAGTGAAATGATTAAACGGAGGAGAACAGGCGTTTCCCAAAAGGGGCGGATTGTTTCTCCTCTCGAGTGTATGATTCCTCCCCTCTCTGGGAAAAAAATAGTTCCCAAAGCAAATAGATAACCAAATGGGAGTTCTTGTTTTGATTGACAAGGGGAAATATAGCATGCTAATTATCTTCCCATTTTATCACTTCTAAAAGGCTGCAAGATTTTATTTTCCAATCCCTCACAAAGTACACATCTTTTCGTGTAAATGCTTCGACACAAAATTAACAATTATTGAAATAGGATCGATTAATGCTGATGGAAATGACGAAGGAAGAGAAGTCCAACCTTTTCACCAAATGTAAAGAAGTGGTCACCTACAACCCTGCTCGCAAAGGAAGATCTGGAAAAATGCACTGCCTAACCCCCTCGGATATGCCTGTCGTCTGGTTGACGACGATATGCATTTGTTTTAGACCCCATCCACAACTGTCATGCCTTCAATATCTTTAATCAATAGCCTGATTGAATTTCTAGCTAGATCTCAGCTGAATACCAAGACAAGGATTCATTTCAACCAATAGCAATTTGATGCTTCATCCATAACACCCTCGAATGTTTGCGAACGTTTGCGACACTGTATTAGTGGGCACCGAAATACTGTAACTTCATGATAAATCGACAATCTAACTAAAAAAGCTTGCAAGCACATTTGTGAGGCCTTACCAGCTGAAGATAGGGTTCTCTGCTGAGTGGTAGAAAATGTAATGGCTTAATTCAGTAAAAAAGGGCCACAGACGCATACTTTATATCGACAAAAGGTGGTAACGAAGCTCTGCTCTAGTGGACAGCGTGTTGAGTCATGTTTAAGGTAACAATCATTTGGTAGACACACGGATTGGTGAAATCGCGTTATCGGTGAAATTATCAAATAAGTATGAGTAACCAACTCGGTGAACTATTTGAGCACGAAAGGAGGGAGGCTAACCGATGATTCCTCTTAGAAAACATCTGCGAATATATTTTTTTAAATTGTGTTGGTGTTTGAGCAGGGCAAAAGCTGTAAAATTGTGTGTGAAAACAAACAGGATCTGCTTTTCTCCAGAATTATATAAATTTTATCACCATACATGATATTCATACCATTCAGTTGTATTAAAATTTACTTGGACTAAATTAGGGAAAATAGTGACAGCGTTTTGACCAATCAGATTTATCTTTGGCCTTTCAAAAATTGGCGTAGCCAATAATTTTTGTCAAAATCTTGACGGTAGCCCACAACCGAAAAATAAGTGAAATTTTTAAGATGAAGATGACTTACTACAATGAAATACTTCCTCTATTAGTAAACATTTACTCAAAAGTTCAGTAGAACCTCAGTGTAATCCCTGCGAAATTAAAGCAAGTTTGAGTGATCTGTATCCAAACCTCATTGAGGTTAGAATTATTTCAGACTTTTAAAATATCAACTGCTGGAAATGACAAGTTGAGGTGACAATAGAAATTTGAACTGGTTGCCCCATTCTTGCCTGTATCATTTAGTTTCTAGTGTGTGTTAACGATAATTTAATCTTCAACATGATCATAGAAAAACATCTTTTACGCGATTTATTCAATGATGCATTTACCCTATTTCACTTGATGACGAAAAATGAAACAACAAAATTTCGTATATTAAAGCCAGGACTTTACATTTAAAGAGGTCAACACAGAAAAAATTGAACTCACATCATCGCAACTGTTAAGATTGATTGTTGGCATAAATGCAAGAAGGGTCTTGAGATTTTCTACACTTCCAGAAGCGGCTGCCAAATGGAAGAGTTGGCATGCCTAAAACAAGGTAGCATTGCATTATTGATAATGTTGATAATAAGGTGTTGCCAACTAAAGGGGTTAGTATGTCATCTCTGAATTCAAGGTCAATGCTGCTAAACCCATTTTTGGTTGTAAAATTCGGCACAAAGATATACACAATGAAAGGTGATGGAAGCCCAAAAGTCTAGTGATTTTAGATTGCAATCAGCTTGACAAGAGTTTGGCTTTGAGTTCATTTGCTTAAACATAGACGGAATATTTATCTTAATTATGATGGCGATAAATTTCAATGAATCCTGTTATATCAAAAAGTATATCTACAAGGTACCGGATCCACATAAATCATTTTTGTAATAGTAAATATGGCAATCACATTGATATCACGCGGTTATTTGATTTAATTGTAACCTAACAACTGAAACGGAATATCTCGGAGATAAAATCACTTAAGTGGCCAAGAACCGTGGACCAAAATTCTGTATCTGAAGCTTTTTGACTAGGCGCATTGAACCATGCATTTTTGTTAAAAAATGTGCATAAACCCTTGAATCCTAAAACTTTTCTTGTAATAAAAATAAAAATAATAATAATAACAATAATATGAATGTCAAAGGTTTCACCTGAAAATAGTCAATTCGAACGCGTTTGGAGAGGAGAACGCGTAAACGATGACAATCTCCATTTAGAGTTGCATTTATTAATTGCCAGCGAACTGCCTCATTCATTATATCACTTTTTTGGATTCTTTTTCTTGTATTTATAAGCTGAAATAAAATTGGCAAATAGAGGTAAGCTTAAGAAATGAAATTTGTATTCCAAGGAAAATACAAAAATATCTGTACTCGATTACTAATGTAATTCAATAAATAGCTATCCATCGATTAAGCTATAATCATTTGTAAATAGAACTCATTAATATCAATGAAAAGGAAAGAGAAATGTTAGAAACCTTACAAATTAAATTAATATAGATTATAATACTGTGTAAATTTCTTTTTACTAAAAGCCTGTCATTAATACTCTTAGCTGTAAATTTCGAACAATCAATTTATAATTTTATTAAAAATTCTGTTATATTATTGGTTAAAGTGGAAGTTTAGTTGTGTGCTTTAAGTATAGTATTTCTATTCATGTTGGGTGGTAATTAAAATTTAATTAATAATTATGAAATGATGTGTAAATGTGAGCGAACATAGGCAAGACATCACTGTGATGCATTTCAGAAAATTTGAGACCAATTCATATTCTGCAATAAATGCTCTATATTGAAACGCATTCAAGCTTGAAGTCATATAAATACGTAAAAAATAGAATTATATTAAAAAATTCGATTATCGAATATTAAGGATACTATTCAATTCTTATTAATAAGACAAGACACGCTGTTTTGCACTTTAATGCTTCGAATCCAAGAAGTTTTACTGAATTGATAAGTAGTGATCATGAAAAAATCAACCCTTTTCAATAGTTGCGTGCAATTAATTTTAATAATCTATAATGTTCAAGGCATATTAGACAACGATGCAATAAAAAGCATTTAGATCAGCCTTCTTGAATAACTCTATTTAAGGCTTAGAACCATTCAATCTGAATACAATTTTAAATATTCAACAATAGTTGAAACCTCAAGGGTAATAAAACATAGCATAACGAATACAATATGAATAGTTGAAGTTGTCATACCCAGTGAAATAAGTAATTTCAGAAAATAAATCCTCGTAAAGAAATACCAATGTTGTATTAAGCGCTAATTTTCAAGGTTGTTTATATTGTCTAGATGTGAATAATAAAATAATTACAATTACAGCGATCTTAAATCTCAGGTTTATTTTTTCATTTTACAAATAATCAATGCATAAATAGTTTTATATTAATTTTTGGTTTAATTTTGGCAAATTATTTGTTTGTTATCATGTCACATAAAAGGATACTAATTAACTTAACAAGGACCTTAATTTTTTCAATATCAATTTCTGTGGCAAGTCATTTGCACTCCCCTAACCTTAGTTTCAATCAATCTAAATATAGTTTCGCAAATGGCACGTTTTTAACTTTTTGCATGCTTTGGTTCTTCAAAAATGTTGGCCTTACTAGTGCACAATTAGAATTCCTGTGTAGCGTATTGCTCAGAATATTACCTAATTTCAAATTTTCAGAAGAGATTAACATCAATATGACGTCACAACTGGGAGGATTGGTTTGCTTCAATGCAATAAAATTTGAACTGCTTTTGTATATTTGTTTGAAAATATATAATATACCTGAGTAAAATTAGAAAATTTGTAAATTTTCTTTTTATTTCTTAAGTTTGAATAAAGGACGAGACAACTTTCATTGTTATGCTTGAATCATGCTTTTGATACGATATTCCACTGAAAAACTTGTTCATTTTTTGATCTACTTTCCTCCAAGCCTTATTTAAAATTTAGAGGGAAATTATCATGCAGCTTTCATCTGATATCAGGAAATCATTAATTATTCTAAATCAAATCCCATCTGAGGTAAAAAATGGTTGGATTAGTAATTTAGGTCCATACTATGGGATATGAATAAACAAAATTACTTTATCTGTTTTAATTTATGCCAGTTTATCAACAAAATAAAGTGACATGGGGGTTTAATAAAAAGGAATGTGATTTACAACGAAACCTTCTCTGAGGAATTCGAAACTAAATTAAACCTATTTAGCTTTCAGAATATGATGGAACTTAAGATGCTAATTTTGGCTGGGGATTTTGCTTTCACCTATCTTTTCTTTATTACCACATTCAAAAATTAGATTAATACTTATTTAATATCAGAATAAGGGGTGTGCGATAGGCCTGGCTTCACTTATGCACCCTGGGCAACGTATATTCATACGGCAAATGTCTATTAACCGGCATTTGTCTTCTGACTTCAAACTACAATCTCCCCATTGTATGTCGTATTCTATCACTTCCACAGTTGTCACCTCACCTTTTTCTAGCTTCGTGACCGCCTCTTTTACATATTTGAACCCCTCTTCTTTTCCTCCCCTCTATGAAGCCTGAAGTCAGCTAAAGGGCTAATGATAACTATCAAAACGCCAGCCATTTAATATAAATGACCAAATATCAGAACAATACACCCTTCCCATGTTCGCGGTTTCAGAGATGATATAAACATACTTATTCAGATCTCAATAACAAATACAATTAGATATGATAACTATAGTCATCGTAAACCCAATTCTAGTGGCTGTCCTTTGTCCCGCACTGAGTATAGTTCATATTTTTCCGTTTGCATCGACCAATCGTAGAAAATATTTGTTCCATCTATTTATATTTGTCCCCCCCCCCCAGTCCAACCCCAAATATCTACAGATTCCAGCATTCAAAAGGGATCAATGAATTGAACAGCACGATAAAAAGGAAATTACATTAAATGTGTGTGTGTGTGTATATACAGTAACAACAGTTGAAACAAATGTAAAAGTTAGAGCAACCCTTGCATTTCACGCATAAACTCCTCATAGGCAGCATCCTTGTTTGTGGTCGTGTTGGCCTTGTTCGTAATCGAGGAACTCGGGCCCGAAACTCCCAGTGCACCGCCTGGAATACTTCCAAGTCGATCTACATAATTAACAAACGCAAATAAACCAATTCATTACTCCTCGTTAAATGAGTAGTGCAAAGTTTAAGCGCTTACAGCCAGTTGCACATTTTGGCTTTTACCAGCCAAACGATCTACGTCTTTGCGTACGGGGTAGATGTTGTCACAAGCTAACATTTTATTAACTCTGAAGCCCATTTAGGAGAGTAATTCCCCCACAACTTACATTGAGCAGGTGAACCCCAATCCCCACCCCGAAAGAGACCCCGGTTTGGCATTCACTTTGAAAGAGCAATTTCAATCAGATTATTAATTCAACGCAAAGTGCCGACACTTTTATAATGTACGCATCAAATGAAAAATGTTCCCATTGTTTAGCTTTCATATAATCCGATTATGAGCCACCTCTAAGGTATTGAACACTAGACTCTTCGATCATTTGGGCCCAGCAAGGTGATCGGACTTACAATTTCTTTTAAATGAGCCTGAAGATTACAAACAAACCTAGGAATAAGTGCTTATTATACAACCTTAATCGAAACAACAGGATTCAAAAACAATCCCATTGATTTTAAATAACTATATATGTTAACCCATTTTAATGTAAATCTGTGACGTGGACACCAAAATCAACTTTAAAATGGCAAAATAAAGCATGACTGAAAGCACTTACGTGAAGAGGAAAGACCGAATCCACTTCCAGGTCTATTTCTAGTTGCACTAACCCCTCCGCCAACTTTAACGAGACGTCCTTGGGCATCCTTCACAGTACGACGGACTTTGAGGGAAGTTGGAACAAAGCGGGTAGCATCACCGATAAAATTCTTTATTTGCGGTTTTGCTTCGATTGTAGTTACAGTGCTGCTAGAAACCTGTTCACTTAATGCTGGATTCATTGTTGGTGGTGCAGATAGAAAAGCCCCTCCTACTTCAATGGAATAAAAAGAGGATTTTTAAGACGTCTGGGAGTGCACTCTATGCTTAACAGTAATTCAGATGTCGACTTAAATAGCACAATCTTCGTATGGTTTCTGATCCTTGATCCAATTGATACATACATATATACCTATATTCATTACAAGCAATCGAAAAGGGAGGGAGAGAGGAAGACTTACATATTTGTGAACCAATAGCTGTCAAGCATTAGAAGCCCATTTGAGTGAACTCTAGTAAATGTTATATGCCTCTACAAATCTTATCACCCTGCTCAGTGCCATGACAGCAGGTTGATTTACTCAACTGGTCAGAAAATCTATCCAAATCACAGACACCCAACAAAATTGCATGGATCAAATTATAGCAAATAAAAATCAATTATACCATGACCCTTCTTTACTATTTTTGCTCTTCCATTTTCAGCTGTGTACAAGAAGAGCTTCCGGATGCCATATTGTTCTTAAGTTTCATAAAAATTTATACATGACCAAAAATAATCAAAACACTGACGATTTCTCACACTTAACACAATAGAAAGTCAATTAAGTATGGATATGCTATTCCCTACTTCACCACTGGATCAGGTGATCGCGTTCATAGTTTCAATTGCACACAGCGACTAGGATATGGGTTGGTATTGCTAAATAGTCAATTAAAGGGAACTTACCATTTTGCAAACTACCAACAAGGCCGGTGGCGGGATTAAATCCAGGAGCAACAATCGCATTCATTGAAGGCAACGGTATCTGCGATGGAGCCAGACCTACAAGTTAAACCAACATAGTATAATTTAGACTATTAGAGCAATCAAAGTGCTATTTCAATGCGCATCACAACAATAAAAGCCTTTAAGAAAACAAAGCTTTAAAAATTTCAACCACGCATAAATATAAACAAAGCGAAAAGACGGTAGAACGTACCAGCAGCAAAATTGGAGTCTTGAAAGTCGTTCTAAAATAAACAGCCCACTTTAATAAAAGGATACGCAAAAGTTATGTAGCTTTAAGTGAAAAAATAGCAAAAGTTATCAACCAAATATTCAAAGAATCATAAAAAGGGGATTTACCTCAAATCGAATTCTTCGTTTATTCGGGTCAGTGTCACCACTTTCTGATTCGCTGTCTGACAAGTCTGGAATAGGAAGTGGTGGAGGTCCAGGAGGTTTACGAGTAATAGGAACCTGTGGTGCTGAAGGTCCAGGAGCACTGTAGAAACAATGAAATAGATAGTACTTAAGATTTGGAATACAATAGGGACTTGAATCGAAAAAAGACTTTTCGCCCTGTTGCTCAAACTTCACAATAAATGTAAGCCCCGGATATCCAAGACGTCCTTCAAAATAGAACTACGAGTCTCATGAAAATACAGCCACTTTTAGCTTCGTTAACATGGCGCCTGCTCTGGAACAAAGATGGCGGACAAAATATAGAAAACCAAAAACGTGAAAGGAAATGCTAACCGTTAACGTCTCTTAAATTAATTAATGTTTTGTTATTTAAATTAAACAAGACATAATTAATACAGCGAAACTCGAGGGAAACTTGCCAAAGAAAAGAAAAAAGTTCACTCAAATTTGGAAGCATCGTGTCTCAGATTATAAAGAGGTTTCGGAATAAAAGGCTGGTCTATAGGTTAAGCTATTGCATTACACTAAGATAATCCTAACGAATTTGAATGAGAGAAAATTTACAAGCACTCTCAAAATTGAGATAGTCTTATGGCCAAATGGCACAAGCCAAGTCCATGCAGGATATGTTCTACTAAGATTTTTAAAAAAATATTAAATGCGATAAAGCATGTTACCTAGTGGGTTTCTTTAATATTCCTTTGTTGAACGACATGGATATTCCCATTGGTAGTGGTATCTCGGAAGTTTGCAATCCAAGTTGCGATGGGGGGAGATCAGGTAAAGGGATATCAACAGCCTTGGTTCTTTCAGCAAGTTTCACTTGTTCTAATAATAAAAAAAACTATATAATTAAGGATTAAGCAATACCGTGATAGAGCATCATGTCATGTCGTCGTTTATCATACTCCTTCCTTGCTCGTAGTAGTTCCTTGGCATACTCCGGGTCTTCTTTTTTCTAAACCAAATCAGACTTCGAAAATCAAAACTTACATATAAATTAACAAGATTATCAAATGTTTCAAGAAGACGCTTTCTTTTTCCCTGCAGCACGCGTTCATTAAACTCTGATTGCAAATTCGGTGTGTATTCTTGTTTGTCATACATAGAAGCCTCTTCAAGTAGTTGTAGTGCATCCTTGGATTTAAGCACCGCTTGTCGAACAGCTATCCTTTGCTTTTTATTTTTCTTAAGCTCTCTTTTACGGGCCTCCTTGCGAGCCTGATCGGTAGGATTCATGTACTTCCCACTTTTAGTGGTATTAATCGATCTTCGTCCCATCGTCAAAGCGGTACACAGCAAAAACGCAACCAGAATGGCTTGATGGTTGGGCCGCTTACTCAGTATATATAAACAACAACAAAAATGTAATGCAGTAATAATGAAAGCTTGTTCAGATTAATCACTATTTCTGAAATATTACAACATACATACAATTGCTGAAATAATAATAAATAATAAATAATATTGAAATTACTCGTTAATCACCGCTTCTTAGAATTCCTGTATTGAAAAATTCAGAAAAAGCTTTATTTGTAATTGAATACCATTAACCACATTACCAATAAATTATTTTATTTAAATGTCAATCCCAATAACAGCTTTAAAGATTTCTCGTACTATTCACCATTGGATAGCAATGAATTACTTAAATTACTTTAGCCAAAAAATTTTCCTCGCAGTGCCGTTGAAAGAAATGTTTCTCAGATTTTAAAAAGATATTAATATACGGTAATAACTGAGTCAATCTATTGAGAGCAAGTCCACCAATTTCAAATATGAACTATAACAGAATTATTTATGGTAAAACTCAGTTGCAATAAATCCAAGCACACATTAAGATGGAACACCGGTACCTTGTAAATCTAATTATTTTGAGGGCTACCATCGGGTGTTCTTGGCAAGATGCAGTGAACTCAAAATTAATTATACATTTAATTAGTTTGATTGCTATCAAACTGTGTTCATTGTTAAAGTCTTGATATCGAGAATAACGCTGTTCGTAAATAAGTAAATTGTTTTCCCATTTACTTATGACGTCCATTATTGGTTGATAATTTGGATCTTTTAATACACAGGGAGTTGGAATAGTTCACCACCATATCCTTGTGTTGTTTGTCAACGCGTATGCTCACCATAATTGACCTTTATTACCACTTTCATATATCTCTACCGTTATATCAGTGGTAATGCATTCGCTAACATTTTTGTCCCTTTGTAATTTGGCAAATATTTCTTTTCCGTTCTGTTAACTAATACCTCCATATTCATCAGTATTTCCACCTATTCCACCCAAAACCATAAAGAAATTCACTTTCTCCTTCCTCGTCTACAAAGTTATTGTTCTCCTTAATCTTCTTTATCTCCATCTCTTCTAATTTAATCTCTTCACGCTCCTCTACCTCGTAATCCATTTCCGGATCTTCCAAATCAAGTCTAGGCTTGAAAGTCAGTTGAAAGCCATCAATTACGCTGCAACTCCATTCATTCACTTTCTTCTTCTTATTCATCCCGTCATCCCATCATCACCGCCACCACCATCACCATCATATCTTGACAGTTGAACGAGTAGGCTTAGTACAAGCAAATGGGTCCGTAATCCCCACAACGCCTATCCATCGGCCTCAAGTCACTCTTCGATTGACATCGGGCTCACACCATTTCATTCATCAATGGTCTTGCTATCATAACTCAATTTCCCCATCACAGAACTTTCTTTCTTGTTGTGAATTAGAAATCCACTTCACTCGTTTTATTCTAACATGATTTCTATCCACTTTAATGTTTCACTTATTGAGTTCAACCTGATGACCTCATTGTTCGCAATGTGACCTCGATA